AATTTCCGCAAGGTGGTCCCCCCCCGGGGCCCCTCGGCGACTGAGCGAGCCACTTGGGCTTGATCTCGGGGGAAACGCTCGCGCTCCCGAGCGGCGCGGGCGCATGTCCTGCGTCAGCATGTGGGCACCCGCGGGGCCGACGCGGGAGCCGATGAATTTGGCGGCACGTCGCGGCAGGTGGGGATGCGGCAGTGGCAACGACGACGATGAGGCGGAGGAAGGCTCGTCACGGCGCGGCTGGCTGTTGTCGTCCATGGCCGGCGGGGGGGGGCGTTGCACTCGTCTATCAGGGGCTGGGTCACCTGGATGAGCTTCTGCCGGACGATGAGCGAGGCGTCGTTGTTGAAGGCCGGCAGGATGGTCTCTTGGACGTAGGCGAGCTGGTCTGCGGCGGAGATGGCGCTGTCACCGCCCTTGGTGTGTTTCTGGATGCGCAGGAGGAAGCCGTCTGGATGGTTGATCAGTCTACAGATTCAGGAGAGGCAGAAGAGAGAGAGGTGTGCTCACCACACAATTGGCGGAGATCTTGGGTGTAGGCGTCGCCGCCGTTGTCGTCGATGAAATGGAGGGCCCAGACCGTGTTGGCGGCGCCTTCACCCACGAACTCGAGCCATTTGTCGCCGAGCCTGGGGAGGCCTGGCGGCCTTTGGGTGTTGGACATGACGTGTGAGGTTTGAGAAGGAGTGGCCCATCGGGTGCTTGTGGGCCCAGGCTCGTGTTAGTTCCCTATGAAGTTGGTGAGGTCGGTGTCTGGCCCAAAGCCGGAGATGGTACTCGTGCATTGGGCATGTATGTAAACACATTGGAGATGAGGCGTCGTGTCTTCGAGCCGACGGTTGAAGTACAAGCCACTATGCCCGGATTGGCGAGGCTGTCAGCAACTGAACCATGACGACACACAAGCGGCCAGAGTTGGACAGTTGCAACGAGGCAGCCTTGGCTTATGTAATGCCTTCCTCTTTGTCGCTCGGAACCGCTGCAGGACGCATTCCTCCTCGCAGCATTTGCCTTTTCACGACATGGGACGAGAGTAACATCGGATTCTGATGCGAAACGTAGATGAACGGTCAATGGTGCGGTGTTGCCTCTGAAATCGATTCCTTGATGCCATCGACCTGTTGCCCCGCCAACCTGGCAGCTGCTGAATCACGTCAACAGATTCGTTGGACCATGTGGACGGCATTTCGTATCAGCCCCCTTAGAATAAGGTAAGGTACTCAGGTAACAAACACAGCTCCGGCAGAGAGCTGGGCATGGGAAGAAGAACTATTTAATAATACAGACATCCGAGGCAGTCGCAGCGAGGTTCAACTCTTGCAACGCGTCCAATGCATGTGCATCCATAAAGGTTAACTCAAACATTCCAGCACTACAATTTGGAGCGGCTTCGATTGGAAGAAGTAGCCCCTCGTATATGGCTTAGGATAATATCGATAAAACGGGAAGCTGACTTGGATGAGAGCTTGACCGTCTCCACATTCAGACATGGGCTCCGTCCACCTTCCACCACCAATATCGGCTTTCCCTTGTCTAGCAGGTTCTCTGATTGTACAACATCGTTCGACCTCTGCCCGTCTATGCCATTGGATCCTGATGTACTCGCTCATGGAAGTCGTCATTGCACGGTGTAAGCTGGCTCTGTCGCAGTCGGTGGATTGAGACACCTAAGGGTACACTGAACGATGACATTGAGGCGGAGAGGTACCGTACATTCTATCCTCACAAGTATCAGTAATCGGATGGTTCGTGCATGTTCGATCGTTGTAAACCGAACGCCGCCGGAAGAGAGTTTCGCTTCAAGGTGTACGAAATGCGTGCACCGCTCCTCTGCTCCACCGCTGCAGCCGTGGACAACCAACACATGGGAACACGCAGAAAACATGGCAAGCAACCCATTGCTGCAGTACGTACACATCAAAGTGAAACGATCGACGGCCAAAACACCCCAACTCAAGCTATCCGATGTCGCGTCTGCCTCTCCTCAGAGCAGCCTACTTGCCATCTAGGCCCGTTGTGGCAGCACGGCGACGCCAATTTGCGGGGGGGGGGCGTTCACCCTCAGGAAATTACCACTGCCTTCGAAGTAGTGCAGCAGTCGAAAGAATCCCACCCCACGGGGAGAGAAAGGCCATGGCGCGACGGCCTAGCGGCCTAGCTGGAGGAACAGGCGTGTCGTGGTGGTGTGGGAGAATCAGGGAATGATAGGCCGCTTCCCTGTTCCTGATGCAGGTGTTGTGGTGGTGTGCGGGCTTTCTCTCCCACACGCGCATCTCATTCTTCCTTCAATTCCTCCTTTGGCCATTATGCCTCACATGAAGAGCAGAAGACGAGGGACAGCAGTTTGCAGCAGCAGCAAGGCCATACAGGCTGCTTCTCGTATCGCCATGATCGAGCCTGTTGCGGGCGCGGCACAAGCAGGTGTGTCGAGTTGGCCCCATTGTCGTGCGGCTTGACGTGATGGTCGACCCATCTGGGCCCGTTGGTCTGCTGTCACTGTCGGGTGGACGGGTCATCAACGACTGAAGGACGAGACACACGGGCTGGCTGACCAGCCGGAGCGTTTCGTTGTTTGTACAGACACATACATCGTTAGGGCGTCGTTCTTTTTTGTTATTGTTATTGATGGTTTGTCCTCGACGGCGCATCCCTGACCGGGAATGGCAGGATGACGCTTGTTGCGAACGGCGCCCACCTTCCTTCATGCCGCCGATTTGCAGCGAGCGCTTGACTCCAGCTCCAGGTGGAAGGTACCTGCTAACAGCAGCGGCATGGTGACATGCCGGGTCATCGGACAGCCTCGGGGTGACTTGCATTGCGCGCTGTGCGGGGCCAGCGGACTGGGCGGGCACGACTGAGAGGCCGCGCATAAGAAAAAATATGGTCTCCAGCGGGCACTGACTATCGGCCACCATGAGTACCCCGATGTGGAGCCAACGGCTGGGTCAGGCGTTTTGGGGCGCTGTGACTGGCGAGACGTGATTTTCCGGGGGTCGGCTGGGCGTGTTTAGGGGGGGGGAGGAAGGGGGGAACATGGAGCGAGGCAGGAGGTCGCGTGCAGGGGGGTCGTCTTAGGTGGACAAGGGCGGGTTGCTTCTGGCTGGAGCTGCATTGTCTTTGGTGCTTCTTTGCTTGGGCACGAGAAAAATTCTCGCGCTAGAGCGTGCGCCCCGTTTTCTCCGTGCTCTCCCGGCTCGCTGCCCTTTCCCTCGGCTGGCTCGTGCGCTTGCCTCCCTCCCGTCTCCCTGCCTCTGCTCCTTGTAGTCCTGGTGCTGCAGCTGCAGCTGCAGCTCCAGCGCTCGGCTCTCGCATTTTTCAGGCTTTGTACAGAAGCTCTGCCCCCCCCGGGATATCATATAGCGTCATACCGAGACCTTCCATTCCACACCCGACACACAGCCCACGCATCTTGCCGCCTCGACCCTACTACCTACTCCTCCTCCTCCAGCGTGAAGACCCTTTTCCTTACGACCCATCGCCCACCTCATCATCGAGTAGAACCTCCTCAACGAGTCTGCATCGCTTCCTGTACGCCCACTGAGATTTGCGACATCTCCCATCTTCCGAATTCCATATCCAGACGAAGAGCCGAAAAAAAAACTCGAACGCACGCATCGTGCCCCCGTCATCATCTACGCGCCGCCTCCCTTCGATGGTCTCCCGCTCCTAAACGCCATTTCAACATGGCCTTCAACTTCAACTGGTCGCCTCTGGCCGCCGACGAAGACTTCTACAGGCGCGCACGAATTTGTTGACCACAGCCCTCAACAAGCCCCCGAAACCGCCCATCATTGTCGATGACATCCTCGTGACTGAGCTCAACCTGGGCTCCGTGCCCCCCGACCTGGAGATTCTCGAGATTGGCGATCTCGCCGAGGATAGGTTCCGCGGCATCTTCAAAATGTCTTACTCGGGCGACGCCTTCTTGACGTTGAAAACACGCGTCCAAGTACGTTCTCTCTTTCTCTCTTTCTCTCTCTCTGCGGGTGCACCAGACGAGCAGGACGTGCAGGAGTTCTCGCATCACAGACAACATCCGTTCTCCCGCAAGCTTCCCGCACCACCATCAATTCCATCCCCTCCTTTCCGTGCCACCAAACAATCATCACCCCCTCGGGACGCACAGCGCTCCGCATTGCTAAGCAATTTGCCCATGCTGGGATGCGCGCCTGGACTTGCTACCCTGGGGCAGGGGTACCACGAACGTGCACCATTAACAGACGGCTAATATATCAACAATAGGCGAACCCCCTGGCTTCGTATCTCTACTCCAAGCCTACGTTCACGTCACCTCAGCCCTTAGCGGCTTCTTCGGGACTGACAATTCCCCTCTCCATCACACTGTCCGACATCAAGCTGTCGGCGTTCATCATTCTCGTCTTTTCCAAGCAAAAGGGCTTGACCCTGGTGTTCCGCAATGACCCACTTGAGTCGCTCAAGGTCTCATCGACCTTTGACTCGATTCAGTTTGTGCGCGATTACCTCCAGAGGACCATCGAGGGCCAGCTGAGGACGTTGATGATGGATGAGCTGCCGGCCATCATCCATCGCCTGTCGCTGCAGCTGTGGTGCCCGGACCAGGCCCAGAAGAAGGACGAGGAGGCTGCAAAGGAGCAGGCCGATGAGACGGCTGTGGATCCCTTCTCGAGCCCGCCTCTGGATCCCGTTGACGCGCACGGCAACCTGCTCGATCCCAATGACATTGCATCCATGTCCCTTGAGGGTGGCCCCGAGGTCCAGTCGCTCTTCTCCCAGAAGAACCTGCTGCGCCTCGGCGCTCTCAACGACTCGCACAGGACCTTTTCGCTGTTCACCCCGAACATCCGTGATGTCGTATTCCGCGCCTGGACGGGCAACGTCGTTTCCGATTCGGCTTGTAACACGCCCCCCACGGCCACGCCGAGCCTGTCCAAGACCAACTCGTTTGCCGGCACGGCGACGGCGACGACGTACACCTTCTCCGACACGGCAAGCGCATCGCACGGCTATCTTCCTTCGAGACCTTCTCTCGTGAGCCTCAACTCAGCCATGTCAGGTCTTGCCATGGGCTCCAACACGCGATCCAAGTCCTACACGGGCCGCAAGAAGAAGACGAGAGTCGTCAACCTGAGGCGCACCAAGACGGCTCTTCCTGAAGAGAGCGAAGCAGGTGACACCAACTCCGACTCGGCATCCGTTGCCGCCTCGTCTACAGAGCCCCTCATGACGAGCTCCATCTCTGAAGAGCCCGAGGATGAGGTGTCTATGCCTCCGACACCGACTAGGATACGCTTCGACCGCACCAACGCCGACGTCCCCCGTCTGCCTACTCGCCCTCCGCTGGCTCCCAACTTCTACCAGGCGCCTCCCGAAAGTGTTCCCCACGGCACCCATCGTTGCCGACAACGCCCGGGACGTGCAGCCCACGCCCAGCACCCCGCTGCGACGAGTTGAGAAGGCCCGCCGCTTCGAAGCTGAGAATGCGCCGTCGGAGAACCTCGAGCCCGACTGGATCATGAAGATGGCCGGCGAGATTGCCCGCCGCGTCTACGATGAGAAGAACCGCCACCAACAGCAGGGCGGTTTGTGGGACGAGCGTGATCCCATGCCGCCCCCAGCGTACGAAGCCACCAACTGAGCAAGATTCTTGCTTGGTCTGACTTTGCACCAACTGTACCAACTAGAACAACTTATTTTCGTGCCTGTTCTCCCTGCTCATTAAACGGCATAGCATGGCATCGATTTTTCATTGCGTCATTTTCCTTGACTCTCTGCTTTTACTTTTTCCCGCATGGCGCTCTTGGCGGGGGACACACGAGATGAGAGAGAGACAAACACTCCGGGACTCTTCCTGACGCTATATGCGTTTCATGGGGTCCCGTATTCTTATTGTTAATGTGTGCTTCACTCGCATGGCGTTTCGGGGGTTATTTGATTCTCCCCCCTTTTTTCTTGCGGAGGAAAGGGGATTCGCAACATAAAAATGGGGATGGAAACTTTGGGGGCCAGCGTTGCTTTGCTACTTTTTACATACGCTTCCGGGTTGAGGAATCACGGCCCCCCCCTCAGCCGATACACTGCTGGCGCTCTGGTCGCCGGCACCTTGGGCCGGCTCAGTCGACGAGGCTGGCCGCGCCGCTGATACATTGTTTCCTTTGTCACTTGTGAGACGTCGGACCCCTAGATGGAGGACGCGTACGATGCTCTGTATACAACGGGACGGAATGGCTGGATACAGGTCATGGCGAAAGCACGACCGGAGAAGCTGCTTGATGAAGCGGCCGAAGTAGGATACGAGAGTGTGTGCTTGGACGTGCGTCCCTGAGGTGGACGGCGCGGCAGAGGAAGAATTTCAACTCCCATCTGTTACCAAACCTCTACATCCCGTGACTGTCGTGATTGACCGGATCGCCTACATGTGGATGCGTCTACGCGTGTTTGGCGTGTCAACTTGGTTGTCACGATTCTGCGCATTCTGGCGGTGAA